CAATAACATGGCCACCTTCATACACGATACGGAAACACGATAACAAAACAGTATATCAACATGTCAAGCTGCTGATTAAGACCACGTCGCTGCTGTTGCAAGCAATACATTTTCCGGGGGTGTTATGGGATAGCGTCTTCTCGCACAACTCCAGAATCTTAATGGAGCCTGTCAAGTTGTCCAACATTGGGAACGCGGCGACGGCTAGTGAGGAAATATATTTTTCGTGAGATTAAAGAATGTGAAAGAGAAATACATGCGAAGTGCTTAACGATAACGATGAATTCGGTAAAGCTTCGTGTGACAAGTCTGTTCATACGTTTTGTACGCGTGTCGGACGCTTGTCAGCGCCAGGTGACGTCATGAGAAAAGGTATGGCGTATAATACATGTCTGAGGGTGTTCACATTGTGATCCAAGACATCTCATTCGTCGCAAAGCTAGTCATACGTAAGGTCTTTGTGACGGCCTAAACCATCTTGAATATTTAGGCGTGCAAGAAAGCTGCAGCCAGCCTACCTTGCTAGTTGTCTACAAAGGTGACAGCAACGAGTATGGGGTAACGGACTAAAACATGCAATCTGAAGTTTTATTTGTCGAAAAATATGGCGCATTCGGCACAAGTACGATTATTCGGGGCTAGAGTTATTCTTCAAACTGCCTGCCCGCCTAATGTCGATGCGCTATGAGCTTCGCTGGCTGCGAGTGGAGTAATATCGTCTATGTGACGTGTGATTTTAAGGTGTACAAGTACCATAACGATGCATGGTTTTTCAACAGGTTAAAAGACGGGTCTTTTTCAAATACAAAACAAAGGTGGCGAACTCCGCACCATTTCTTTATAACTCATAATGCCTCGCGTTACTCTAGTATCTAACCTGTTATGTTGTCCAAACAAGGCGAATATTTTTGTGTGATCTTGCCACACCTTTTCACATTTGCACAGAGTAAGGGAAGCTCATTTTAAAACGTTATTGAGTGTCGTCGAGAAAAGTGAAATCGTCCAACAAGAACATATCCGCTATCACGATCGTTTCTTAAGGTGCATAAAGAGAAGCATCTAAAATATCTTTTGAATACAAGATGTCTGGTTTAAGTACTTCCAATGCAAAGTATTAAATAGTTGGGAAATTCAAGAGGGCTAAAAGCATCAATTAAGACAAGCAATAGCTGCCCAACATTAATTTCGACGTCAACTTTGGGGGGTGCACACATGAAGGTGAACAAAACAGTAACAGCACTTTCTGTGACATAGAGATCAGAATGGCAGACGTTTTGGTCACGAATCTTGCTTTGGCCTCGGTGACCTAACCAAATCAACAAACATTTATCTCGCAATACATTAAGAGATTTCAATTCTTCAATTCCAGCAAGCAAACCTTGCATTCAAACACGCAGAATGCTTCGAGAGGCAAGAGGCAGGTTTCTAGGGAAACTGGATGAGTATCATAAACGCATGAACAGCACTAGCGCCATCTTTAAACCAGGTGTTGATACCATTGGCGCCACCTATGTTAACGATGTTATCCCCTTACAAAATGGCACGCAATTCAAAGCGGGAGATTGGACACCAAAAGCGTACCTAGCTTGTGGAAGAGCACACGCTTTGCGTGATGCTTGAAGCGTTTAAACCGTCTGTGTCTTCTAAATCGGTAAAAAACTGCCTTTGAAAAAGACCCTTACCTATGTGCTTGAAATGTTGTAGCATGTCAAGGAACCCCACGATGACGTCACGACGAGGCTACCAGATATATCTTGGGGCCCGGGTACAAATGATGTAAATGTTCGCAACTCGTCATATCTTCAAATGCCCGCTGGGCGCATGTAATGTAGGTGCGTTTTTTTTTTACTTGCAACTTAAAGCGTTGCGATTGGCGCATGTACTTGCCTGAGACCGTTGATATGCTATCATAAGCAGTAAAAACCGTGCAGCCAACATAATGCTATAAAAGTTTACTTACATGCAAGTGACATGATAGAAGCCACACTCACAAACGTGTGTGCAGCAGTACCATATGACCTTTGCTACCCTGATATACCGGCAAGGAAGATGCGGAATGATGGCTGCTTTGCTTGTCAAGAATCGTGGCAATGTATTCTCATCGCCGGCTGGTTCGCACGGTTGTTGGGCACAGTTACGAATAGCACACGTTATGAAAAATTGTCTCCGCTACAGTCACTCACGGATGACATCAAAATCTTCATAGGATTGCAACAGCAAAAATGGAATGACCACTATCCCTTTGGCGAAGTGCTTACACTGTTGCCAAGGATCTCAAGGCAAGCTGCTGCAAAAAAACCTTGATTTGAGCTACCACAAAGGACATCATTGTTAATTGCTACAAAGGAACTCAATTGAAGTTGCTGCAAAGATATCAATGTAAATGGCTGTAAAGGACCTCACTATCCCTGCACATATTTTTTTCATTTTTTCCATTGCAGGTTAGATTTCCGTATTACTTGAACATTAGCTAATCTGTGCTCTGAAGCCCATCCCCGCCTGCGTCTCTTCCCGAAAATGCGTATACCTCTTACGTCTTTCTGCTATCCCGCTAAGCAGTATTTGGTAGCACCACTTTTGCAAAACCGTCCGTGATAGTGTCAACGATAATGGCAGCTGAGATTCCCATCGAACAATGACTCCGATTCAGTGGCCCGGTGGTAGCCATTTCGCATGATTTGCATAACGTCGCCGAAAAGTCACCAGCGTCTTACCACAATTTCGGCAAATAGATCTGCTGGTGTGGACCGGATATCGGTTAACTGGCGACATCTGCCGGACGGATGCACACGTGCCCACCGCATAGGAAGGAATTAGCTGCACAGATATACTTCATAAGGGTAAGAAAGGCTTCAAGCTACTCGTTTCTCAGTGTTATGAGTTGGTTTGCTGAGATGTACGAACCATCAGTATACCTAGAACAACTGATTAAACAACAGTATTAAGCAAGCAGTTGATATGTTGGAAAATCCACTAGTCATTACCGTTACCAGCGGTAACATAATTTTTGTGCTGTGCCGCTGTCGGTCATCTGGTTATCATGAGCACTGTGTTTAAAATGTTTTATACTGTCGTGATATGTCCCAGTGAGTGCTTGATACCCTAGTTTAACTAGTAAGTCATGGTATATTGAAGGTCTGTGATTGTCAGCATAAGAACTCATGATGTCCTCAGCCACATCATGTTATTTCGATTATTCTGGACATCTGCCGGACACAAATGTGAGTAAATGGCCTCCGATGCATGCATGTTGCTACGTTAAAACTGATCGGTTATGCCAATGACCGGCTTTATGCGAATCCCAGTGAAATTTGGTTAACTGCATTCCCGCGGCTTTATCAGTGCGTTGAAGCGGTGCCTATTGAGCAGTGGAGGTGCGGATGCCTTATTTGAGATAGGAGCAGCTTTTGGCATCATTTTTATCAGCGTGGTTTTATGAGGAATATCTTGCACCTGGGTGTTGCCGCATTTTCCGATGGCTCTCCTCTGAACCCAAAGAGGCTCCTCCTGGAAACGTGGCATGATACCAAACTCAGGCCAGTGAGAGATGTTCTCTTTACGTAGATGTACTCACTGGTTGGGAGTGAGCTGTCTTAATGGCCACCATTGATAACCTGGAATACTTGAGAATCTAGCCTTGCCACTGATAGGCGCCTTTGTCAAACCCTTTCACAAGACCCCTCTGCGCTGAGGTTAAAATGGGGCCTCATATTGCACGCAGGAAAATTTTGCGAACCCGAAGCCCTCCCAACAGAACATCCAAAAAAAATCAGAAAGTCTGCATGTTACATGCGTGCATTCTCCATGCCCCTGCGCAAATTCTGTTAAGTTTCTAAGCTTATTTGTATTTCTAAGACTGTGTGAGCAAGTTTTCGTGCTTAATCGGTCATGGGATTTTTGGAGCTTGCATGAACCCAGGTAAAATTACTTTCTTATAGTGGTGACCGGTGTTTGGAACTTTTTGAAGCTTAAAAGTACACTACACCACTTCCAAATAACCTAAATCTCAAACACTTCAAACCTGAAATTTTACTTTAACGGTCGGTGTCTTGCGCATGCAAAACAAGATTATCGAAAAGTGTAGCATCGTGTGTCTTGCAGAGTGTCTTTGACAAAATATCAACCACTCTGACATGTGCATGCATTATACCCAAAGCAAATGCGAGACGGCGATTTAAAAAACAACTATGCTTAATTATACCTTATTTGAACTTTCATTTAGGGGCACAGGTTCGCAAAGTGAGCTGGAAGTGGAGAGGAGAGGGCTGAAATATGAAAAGCTATGAAACCTACCCGCAAAATCGGCCAACAAACGGGTTTCTGCCGGATTTGCCACACCTTTCTCTCGAAGTTGGGGTATCTGGAGCTCAAGTTGACTGGGGCCTCACCCCCTCTTGCTCGAATTGAATAGGAAACTACACCTCTGATCTCAATGCACGTTCAAAATAAACCCTACTTTGTGCGAACCTCCATGATGGCTCGGCCTTCGATCCCAGCGTTATCTGGTTCTTCACACGGGACACGGTGGCGCCAGTGGTAAATCGTTGGTTACGTTCGACGCTCAGCGAGATGCCCCTGCTTCGAAATATTATCCCAGTTATTTGGGATCAGAATGAGAATGAGACCACCTCGGTATGAGAGCAGTGATTTCTCGAAAATCTCGCCTCTGCCGATGCATAAGGCATGCAGTTTTGCTTAAGCTGCTGAACATGCAACTTCCATATGCACAGACATGAACGCCGCGTGCGGCTTAACCGCAAACCAAGCACGCCCATTTGCTTTTCGCCAAAGCCCTCACGTGGCGCGCAGCTGCGCGGTCCACCTGCGGGAACCGCCTCCATCAGCATCACTTCCAGCTTGCCACGTGCCAAGCGCCACTTAAAGCGATCGTGTACGGCTCTAGCTGCAGCCGCCGGCGCAGTCTGCGCCTTGATGGCGGCGGCAACTCCTGACGGCCGGCCGGCCAGTCAGCTGAATAATGCAGTCGCCCATTTCCTCACCGTGTATCGATGGGTGCTGCAGCGCTTTGGCGCGGCGCGGTCTGCCCCTGGAGCGCCGACAGAGCCGAGCTCACCGCGCTCAGCGGCCCCCCGGTGGATGAGGGCTGCAGCGCCGAGATGGCCGAGCTCACCACCCCCAGCGGACCGGCCGTAGACGAGGACTGCAGCGCCGAGAACGCGGCGCCCATCGAGCTCGGAGGCCCGCCGGCGGAGCTGTGGGCGTTGCCGCTTGCTCCTGGAAACAACGGGGCGTCGATGGGGCGTCAGTGCACGAACGCTGTGAGACCGGGCTGGCTCGGGCGACGGCAGCTGATTATCCTGAATGCTATGGTGAGTATCATGATGATGACCATGTTGGGCTTGAATGTACTCCGATAAAGGCAAAGCTGCAACTCTGTTTCGCTCACTGACAAATGCAGAACGCTTGTGCTGGTTTCGAGGCCCAGGAACGAGCCCCGACCGCGCCCTGACATTCCAGGAGAGGACTCCGTGGCCAACGGGAGGGTAGTGGCTGATGGACGCTCGCTTGTAGTCGGAATGCTTACTGAACATGCAACAAGCTGACGTTTGTTTTATATATTTAGTAGGCGTACATAATTGTTATAAAAGGCGTGCTGTTATTATTTAAAGTTTTGCGGCCAAATAGAAGCGCGTTCCTCCCTACATACCGAAACTGAAGGCAGGCGGCCATGCAGTACTTTGCAAGAGAATGTCACCCAGCCGCTGTCCCCATCGCATGCATCGGCTATGAGGCTAAGACATGTAACTAGGAGTGGTGTAATAGCACGATGTAACGCCCCATTCCATGCCCGCATACAATTAGGAATTATGCAACAATAGGTCAACGCGGACGCCGCATGCCGCGGCTCATTAATATGAAGAGTGCGCGCCGCCCGGCCGGCGCTTTCACCGTCGGTCGCTTACCGTGACCGGGCTGTGACGTCAGCCCCAAGGCGTCCGGCGGGCGCGCGCCCTCCAGGGACCTCTGGCTGACCAGCTGAGACCTCTGTCGGGCGTCGCCGAGCGCATCCGGCTGCGACAGCTCCCCTTAAAAACGACCACAGCTTGTCGTGAGCCGTGGCCATCCGGAGAGCGGCATCGAGCTTGCACCGTAAACGTCGTACAAGATGCAATAGGCATTCCAGTTTCATAAGGCCTCGCTGTTTCCTGGTCTAGCATGCAATTAAAGTTTGCTTACAAGACACGCACGTCATCGATTGCGGGCAGGACTGAGGGTGGGGAGGGACGGGAAAGGGCGCGATCCGAGCGACGTTCTAGAAAAGCATTCTAGAGCATTCGTCTGCTGCGCCCATGCGCTTATGCGCCTCTGCCGCGCTTATAAGAGCCAAAAGCCAATTCACTCACCTCAAGGTTTTCATGGAGCTCATACATCTGTCCAAAACACAGACACCAGAAGAGATCGCTTTGAAGTGTGTAATCACACCGGCCGCATCGGCCATGTCATGGCGTACCTGCTTCCGCAATCGTCATCTCGCCTGAAAGGCTGCATCGCTGGTGAGAGCAGACTGCACCTGACGAGAGCAGGCGAGATCGCTCGCAAAGTACGGCAGCAGTCGCCGCCGCCCGGGAAGCCATCGGCCCAGATTCTCAGCGTCAGATTCGCAGCCGGAATCATTTTCTTAATGACCAAGCTTATGGGATTAGCTCTCCTAACGTCGAAAATGCTAAAATCAGAGGCGTGCGGGGGGGAAGAGACGCCGCCGACCTCGCTTTAGACGCGGTCAAAGACAATACCCAGCGCGGGAAAGCTCCACATCCGCCCTATGAATTAGCAGTTATTTGTGTATGCAATATCCTATGTCGAGATCCTGGTGCAGAAGCTTGCAGCCCTTGTCGGTACGTCATGCCGCCTGGCACCTATCATTACATCAGACAATCAAGTTCCCGGGCATCAAATTCCCCGGGCGGAACCTTCGCGGCGTTCTCTGCGGGCGTCCAACACCGCCCCGATAATAACACGGTCATGCCTAGCCACCCCGACTCTCACACACAGTGACATGCATGCACGCGATAGTGGCGGGAGATTGGCCCTGCCGGCGCCAGAGATAGGCCGGTATCGATCACACAACACGTCCACGCGATCCGCGAGGCGGCTGCGCTCCTCCCGTCCGCTCGCGCTCTCCGTGTCCGCGGGCAGAGCCGGCCGTGCCGCCGCCGGTCGCAGCCGGGCCCGGCGCCCCTCAAGAGCTGCGCACGACACAGCCGGGCACGGCCGGATCGGGGAGGGCCGCTAAGACCGGCCGCTTTCTGATCAAGTGCGGCGGGAGACGGCGGAAGAGTTCCGCTGCCGCTACGTAAGAAGGCTTTCGCGGAAGCACAGCTGTGGTGGCTTTGTGGGACTGCAGAACTGTTAAAGCATGGTGCCCTGCCTGCTTATAATTGAATAATAGTGAACCGTTTAAATATGAGCTTTCTGCGGCCACTGGGGTAATTCGCTCTGATGCAGGGGAATGTATGACTGTAATTACGTCCAGAGTTTTTCCATACGATCATGCTACAATAGTGCACGGAGGCGTATTGCCGCAAAGCCGATGCAGTTTACTTTGTGCGAACTAAAAGCAAAAACGCGATGTACAAACACGGCAGCACCACTCCACATGGTAACGAAAGCATGCATATGTTGAATGCTTCTGAGGTTTTGGTTCTCCGTTTATGAAATTATAAAGAGGAGCTGGTCATTTTATAAATCCTCCGAATATGTAGTAATCGGTATAGCACTTGAAGGAGTTTAGAGAAGGTTTCGCAGTTCAGTGAAAGGCCCATATGCAGCTCAAATTACTACAGAAAATATAACGCCCCATTATGCCGAAATGCAGAGCGACACAGTGTGCAAACGCTGAAAACTGGGCGCAATGGCCCGGTAGTTCGGGCATCGGACTCCCACGTGGGGCCCGGGTTCGATTCCCGGTGGCGCCATGACCCCTGGACGTTAACATGGCCATTGCATTCGTTGCAATCCATGAAAGGGGCGTGGCGATGTGCCCGTGTTCCTCTTTTATAGAAAAAAGAGCGGGCGAAGACATTGTGCTGCCACCTATATAGGACATTTGCAAGGAACGGTCACTGCCAAGTGTAGAATGAAAACCATTGTGGGATATGCAGTATCAGCGACCTCATATCTAAAATTGCGTTGAATATGATTGGTGGTTGTCAGTAGAGCTGCCCGATAACCATCGTTTCCTTCGCAGCACTATTACCCAGTTGGCCCACAATCCAACACCACCCCAATCACGCAGAGACTGCAGTTTTGCCACCCTCGCCAGCATACGGTGTCACACTCACGTGTCGGCAATTGAAAAGGCTATAATGCTGCTGAAATTCTTCGTCAAAATGTGGATAAATTCTTCGTCAACAATGGATAAAACAATTAGATTCACACCTTCTTGGTTTCAGAGCGGAGTCCCGATGGTTTGCTCTTTAGAAGAAGTATGCAATGTTAGGTGTCGTCAGCTTAATCTATTGAACTATTTATATAACCAGCGTTGATATCAGTTTATCAAGTAGTGCCCTTGAGGGCCTTTTGCAGATAGGCCAACATGAAGACTTCCCGGGCTTACATGGGGAATACGCGTGCGCCAGCTTGTCAAAAACGCAGGCGATTCTCAGGAACGCATCGAGCCATGTCAACTAGCACTATCCTGGCTCGAATTTAGCGCGGTTATGAACAGGGCATAATGTGTCGATATACGCCAAACACCCGCGAAATCATTGCAAGCAGCTTCGACTATACTTGCATAGTATTATATATATATATATATATATATATATATATATATATATATATATATATTCCAAACCGCAGCGTGGCGGCTTTCGAAGGAACCACCTCGCGACCAAAATGAAGATGTCCATAATCTTGAGGCTTTTCTACTGGACTTGGATCAGTCGACTGATTTAGTGGCACTATGAGCCAAATGCCGATTGACCATCTTGGTTCCCGAGTCATAAAGTGCGCGCCAACACGTATCTTTCAGATATTCAACCTGACAAAAGACGCGCGACGCGGGCTGAATTGTTGTTAGGACGATGCTGCTAATTAGAGGCCTCTGGAAATGATGTGGATAAGTTGAAACTATGCGTTCTCCGAACGCACTGCACCATTCTAGACCCGCCCACACCCGTTAGCGCGCGTGCTGACTTTGCCAAAAATTAGTGCTGATCAGGTTTTAAGAGCACCATTCAAAATCCTCGACCCTTTGACCTGTGAGGTAACGGGGTCAACAGCACGTCACGTCAACAACAATGCTTGTCGTCAAAAGCTGGCGATATTTGCAGAAATGTAGGATACAGCCTGCGTTTCCCCCCCCCCCCCCCCGCATCTCTTACTGCTGAGGGGCTGGTTCCTGGGTGCTTTTTAGCTACATTTTCCATTGCCTCTTCACCTGGGCTTGAGACGTCTCTGCATGCGCTCAGAATACTTCTCTATCTACGTTTGTCTGCGCTCATCCAGTTAGTTAGCTGGGCACGCCTCTACCTGCATGCTCGCGCACCACCACACCTACGTCTCTAGGCGCTCCACTGCCTGGATTTAGGGGTCCTCTCTTCTTTGTGTTAGAAAACTCCTCTGCCATGACCAGGGGTGACACTTGGGCGCTTCTCTGCCAAGAGTAGGGCTATCACTCAACCGGGGCCAAGGGTCGCACTGTTATTTGAGTTTAAGACTAGGGGTGTTATTTCGTAGAGAAGGCTGGGAGGACCGTATACGCTGAAACGGCTAAGCCCACCACAAAATGTGCTTAAAAGCATATTTCTACCCGGATTTGACCCATATAGCACTTAGAGTTGAGGGCGAGCTGGAGTCTCCCCCAGCTGAATAGTGAATTACACGCCTGTTTAGGATGTCTGTCTGCTTGGACTTAAGGCATCCCATCACTAATGATTTGAGCCTCTACGTCGGGGTGGGGCGCTCTTCGCCCAAGCCCGATGCGCATCCTTACCTAGCGGTGGAAAAAGTCTCTCTACCTCTACCCGCTACTCTACTCTCTCTACCCGAGCTCACGACGCACTCTATTTGGATTTAGAACACCCACCCTCCGGTCTTAGAGTACCCTTTGGCTACTTAGGTCGTCACTTAGGCTCAAAGGCGCCCATTCTACTTGGACTCTAAGCGCCCATCTCTCGACTTCTTGTGACGGCAGCGCCTTATCAGCAAAATAGCTCCCAGCTGTTGGGTTCTAGAGCGAGGTCCAGGCCTGTGTGGGGCCCGGCTGAGAGGCCCATAAGCTTCTGTACTCTTAAGGTTTAGTATTCGCCCGGGTGACTGGTTGAATACCCTTTGCTCGCGTGAGGGTCAATTTCATCCCCTAAGATTTCAAAAGCTAAGAGAGCTAGAATCACCAAATATACATGGTGTATTGGCCTGCATATAAACTCACTTGTGTCAAGATGAGGGGTTCCTAGGTCACCGCCTTTGGGTCAAATATGGCCAAACAAGGTCAAGCTCCCGATTTATGTCTCAGGTCCCCTAGGACCTAGGTACCTGTTCTAAGTAAAACGTCGCTGGTACTCATCTAAGTTAGTGACCTTGTTTGACCTTTCGCAGTTCACGGTGACAAAAATCATACAAGACTGCCTTGAGTATTGCATTTGAATGACCGACAAAGATTGCGCTACGCAGTATGTTCCTAAAAACAAAATATTGATCTGGGTTATTTTCGGTCAGTGACCTATCCTGACCTTAAAAGAGTCCTTGGTAAAAGCACAATACGGTTCCTGTTATCTATAAATTTGAAATTAGTGCTAGAAATTACCCCACACAGCAAGCTTTAGAGCAACGCGTCCCAAGCCCTAGGTGCCCAGGTCATGGTCTCTGGTCTCTATGGCCTCTGGTCTCTATGCAATGCATATTGCATATGCATTTCATATCATTGCATGCGATGTTTTTCTCGCGGTTGTAGGCTGGGGGATGGTTTTCCCCGTTATCAATGACTTAGACATGAAATCGGTGAGCACGTATCAAAGCACTAGTGCTAAACACATGTGTTTGTTCTATATGGTCACAAGTAATGCTGCGGAAGACAATCATTACCGGGATGAACTTGTGTGCGGCATGTGTTTTTGCATACGTCGCGAAGGCCAATGAACCATGGGATCGCAGTTACCATTCGTGCTTGAGAATCACTGCATGCTATCGAAGCACTCTGTTATATATTTTATCAGCTGGTTTACCTTCGCATCTGCCGATTTATCATGAGCACACTGAATTTCGATTATACAAATACCGAATTCCGAAAGCCAAGCCGTGCCGGGCTTGTTCCTCGGACCATTTAGCTCTCAGCCTCGCGCACATATTGTCTCAATGTAGTTACCTACCTTGAACCATTTCTTCAGAAGCTTGTTTTTTCGCATTGATCCAATAATCAAAGTTTGAATAAAAACGTAGGTGGTCAAGTGGTGCGGTTGCCTATTCAATTGGTGGACCACCCCACTCCAAAAATTAGAAAAAGCTGGGCCAAAACAGTGGAGGACCCCGTCTTAAGTATTTTACGGGTAGGGTTAGCCAGGTTTTCCCGCTCGGTTCCGCCACTCATCTTATTTGGAGGCGTTACTCCCAGTTCTAATCCATTCGTTTTATGTGGTTTAATTGGCTTAAAAACAGTGTCATGCTCGTAGATACGGGCTGAGGTTGGATGGGGTTTTCACATTGTTCACCCACTATGGCGGAACGAGTTGGAGATTGAATTTGGCTAAAAACCAACTTTGCCCATATATTATCTAGTTGCAATTTTACGTTCACATGATTTTGATGACACCAATTTAGTTGGAGCACCGATGGACTTCATTCGATTTTGGACTTGAAAAGAGTGCGTTAGCTGAGGGTTGGATCTAAATTGACTGTTGATCATGATCTAATGATCAGATCTAAAGCTGACTGTTGATCATGATCTAATGATCATATCCAAAGCTGACTGTTGATCATGATCTAATGATCAGATCCAAAGCTGACTGTTGATCATGATCTAATGATCAGATCTAAAGTTGACTGTTGATCATGATCCAATGATCAGATCTAAAGCTGACTGCTGATCATGATCTAATGATCAGATCCAAAGCTGGATAAGCATTGACCTGTGAAGAGCATTTCTGGAAAAGTTTTATCGTCACGTCGCGCAAGGGCAAACATAAACGTCATTGAATGGCAAGGATAATAATGTTTATCCTGTCTTGCATTGGTTGTTCCAAAACATTCTTGGAAGAGTAAAAGCACAACGAATGAGCTCACCTTCACGATTATGACGCTTTTTTGACACCTCATTAAACTTTCAAAAAGGTCCAGGATCGAGACGTCAAAATATGGATTTCATTTCGTATTCAATGCGGAAATTGCGATAGGCATTGTGCTTTTTTCAAATAATGATTTACGACAGAAGTAGATTATGCTTTTATGTGCATTTACTTTGACGTATTTGGCCGATATCGGACACTTTCACCTACAGGTTGTGTTGATTGTACCCGCTTTAACATTGCGAAATTGACATACTCATTCAAACAGTTTTCTGAATGGGTATCAAGCTTCATGCAACTTGCGACAATGCTGTCACATGCAGCTGAAATCACATGCAACGTCAGGGCAATAGCCAAGTTGGAGCAGAGCCACGGACTAGCACAGGCCAGAAACGTAGTATTTCAAGCATGCTAGCCGGATGGTAACTTAAACAGGAAACATATTTCCAGCTAATCCTCTCGTTGTTGGGACACCCTCCGGTTCCCACTGAGGTCAAAATGAGCAGGCCAGCAGTCGCCTCGCTCTCCCAACCCCGAACAAGACCTATGGCTCAGAATGTATGGAAACTGCTTCCGCTGGTGAAAGGTTGAGCTGTTTACGTAATCGCGCAACTGTTTCATGAGTACATCAATGGGGGTCAACCAGTGCTTGGACACCGCAGGTTTAGCCGGAAATCAAGCCCTGTAATATGTGTTGAACACTGCGTGGTAATAAGTGAACTACTTACCCTTAGTCCCCTTTCCATTCAAAACTTGGAGGATGTGACGAAAATTAGGGTTTAGAACCTTGAGCGCTTAAGAAAACCGAAATGCGTGTCACCATATTACATATGTTTCCTCAGCATTAAAATTTCATGTGCACATGGTGGAATACCAAATCTTGAATATACACGTTTGTTCTAAGGACGTTTACATCAGGCAAGTGTGAAGTGTGCAGCAAATGTTTGTTTTTTACTTGAAGTTCTATCACTGCAGCCTAAAAATGGCTTTGGCAGTTAGAAAAGTATGTTTTTAGATTAATCAAATAAATGATGTTATTGTAATGGACATATAAGGTTTGCACTTATGTTTGCTTCGACTTTTTCTAATGTGCATGTAAAACCAGACACACACACACACATACACACACACACACACACACACAACACACACACACACACACACACACACACCACACACACACACACACACACACACACACACACACACACACACACACACACACACACACACACACACACACACACACACACACACACACACACACACACATACATACATACATACACAATACATATATATTCATACGCATATATATATATATATATGCACATGCCACATGGAAGATTTGTCACGTTTTCCTTTTGCCAGTGGTGAAAAAGAAAACACATGTAGTGATTATCCTGAAGTGAAGGTGGTGCTGAGAGTGCGTCTGTCGCTCACGACCGATTCCTTTTTTCCTGGACACATCCTAGCCCCATGAAGCCTCCGTAACAAAAGGAAAGGTATTTCGGGGCTCCTTGTATTTTGCTACCGCGAGAAACAAGTATGGATTTGCCTTACTTTACAAAGCCTACGTCGACTTAAGATCATTCATGGCTCATAGCTCCTGTAAAGGACGCCTGACTTTATTGTATTCCATAATCCTCTGCATAAAGGTAGAAGCATCACTGCGATGGGAAATGGATGCTCAGGATGGCAAGTATCGTGACATGGTTAGGAATGTTTGTGACTTTCTGAAGCCCTTTCGGGTGACGTGCGAGTGTCGGTGAGTGATCAGTGATGCTTATATCACTTATCACAGGAAATGTTGTAAGCAAACTTTGCATCCAAGCCATCCCAGTGACAGTGAACAGTAAACCCGGTGAACACGCAACTAAGACAACGACGAAATCAGCGTACGTTTGGAAAAACTCTGGATCATTACAACATGGTGCAAAAGTGCGTCAGAAAGGGCTGCCGATATCTATTCAAGCAGCTGCACTGGACGAAAGGAAAGCTTTCCGTAAGCGGCGCGTTTCAAGAGGCGGCCAGCCTGTAGCCTGCGCATTCCGATGCAGCGGCCATGACCTGCCGTAACGAGTCGGCCAAGAGAGGTGGCCGGGTCGCGGCCGCGCGGCGGCTCACCTGTCGTCCTGCGCCGCGAGACACCGTCGGCGGCCGTGGGACTGCCCACCTCCTCCTCCTCCTCGACGATGGTGTACACCTCGCCGGCGCTGGGCTCCATCACCACAGAGCTGGGGCCCGACGACTCGCCGTCGCTCTCGCCGTCGCTCTCGTCGTCGCTCTCGACGTCGCAGTAGCGAATCACGTGGCTCGGATCGCGTGGCGGCGGCGAGGGGGAGTCAGGCGGCGGCGCGGGGGAGTCGAGCGACGGCGCGGGCGCCGTCGCCGGCGGGTGCGGGATCATCGACGCCTGCAGAGAGGTGCGCACGCGTGGGGACTTGATGGAGGAGGAGAGGATGGTGGCGCCGTCGCGCGAGCCTCGGACGCCGGCCGACGCGCTGGGCGACGCGCGAGACGGCCGCAGGTCCAGGTCGTCCTCGGCCAGGTCCAGGAAGCCGGCCGGGATGTGCACGCCGAACCGGTTGGAGAACTGAGAGCGCGCTTTGATCTCTGGCGCCGAGCTGGGCCGCTCGCACGGGAGCGCGTCGTCGTCGATGCGCCCGACGCTGCTCATCGGCGAGGGCGTGGCGAGCCGGTCCGAGCACGACTCGAGCGCCAGCAGCGGCGACTCGCCCGGACTCGGAGGCGAGTCGTTGTCGACGCCCAGCGACGCCAGCGACTGTAGGAAGCGTTTGCGGCGCGTTACCCTGTTTTCGTAATCGGTGTCGCGACCCGGCTCCACCTTTGGAGGTGATGTCGTACCACTGGCGTCGCTGCCGACGACGACGGCGACTGCCGGGGGCTGGCCGTTGGCGTTCGCAGGAGGAGCGGCAGAGGCGACCGGCACGCTGCTGGAGGTAGCCGCGCCAGCTGCCGCCGACGGCTTCAGGAACGATAGCAGCTCCGTCGCTGTGTGCTGCACCTTGCCAGCGGCGGCGGCGACCAGCGGCGTCGGCACGTAGATCTTGGACTTTGGCAAGCTCGACGACGGGCTGGTCGCCAGCTGCTGGGCAGAGGACACCTGCGCCAGCGAGGCCCTTGTCCGCTCCTGCGTCAGCTGTAGTTGCTTTTGATACTCCTCCTTTTGCTGTTCGGCCCTGAGCACGAGTTCCCGCTCCCGTTCCTGCTGCAGCCTCTGCAGGTGGGCAATCTGCTGCTGCTGTTCCAAGAGCTGCTGCTGCTGCTGCAATATCTGTTGCTGCTGCTGCTCATTGAGCTGGCTAGAGGGAGCGGCCGCCACCGGCGCGGAAGACATGACGACATCGGACAATGTGAGTGCGGTGGCAGTGGTGGGCGCGGCCGTTTGTACTTGAGCGCGGCTGAAAGCGGGGCTGGCCCGGCCCTCGGCTGCTCTCAGCGCCTGCGCCGACTGCTGGATCGAGTGGTTCACATCGGCGTGCAGGCCGTGGAGCGGTGCCGACTGCTGCGGCGGGAGCAGACCGCCCAGACCCTCCGACACCTTCCCCTTAAGGCTGGTCTGCAGCTGAGTGAACAGACCCCGCTCTGGGATGCTCGGCTGCGCCGGCACACTAGCCACCGGCGCCGGCGTTGGCGCCGCCGCGTTCTGAGACGTGAGTGACGGGTCGAGCAATTTTTCGGTCAAAGTTTTATCAAACTTGGCTAGCAGCTTGTCTGTCTTGCCGAAGAAATTGTCGAGCGTTCGTTCCACGGCGCTGATTTGCGGTTTCTTGGCGGCGACGGACGGCGTGGGCCCGCTGCCGGCGCCGGCCGTCGACGGACCACCTGCCGCCGGCGGCTGCGCGCGCCCGGCTATCGACGCTCGCGCGCCATCCGTGGTGACTGGCGCTGGCCCACCATCGGCCGGGCCGGACGCAATCACGCCGCCCGGCCCGCCGGAGAGCTGGGAACCGACGGGATGCATGACAGGCTGGCCACTGGGGCTCGGGAAGCTGGGAGCAGAAACGTTGGGCCGGCTGCTGGGGGGCTGGAGGCCGGGTGGAAGCATGCCCGGCTGGATGTTGGGCTGGGGTCCGGGAGGAAATGGGTGGGTATGTGGGCCACGCTGGAACATTCCAGACAGAGAATTTATCGGCTGGGAGCTAGACGAGAAAATGCTTGGCTGAGTGCTGGCAGGGTGCAGTTTGGGCAGTAAATTATCCTGCTGGGAGGTTGGCGAAATTATGCTGCTCTGGAAATTCATAGGCTCGAAACTGTTCTGGTTCACAGACGGCTGGTGGATAGGAATTGTCCCCGGCTGCGACATGGATGGCGAATCTTCTCGCTGGGGACTAGAATGGTAAGAGACGGACTGCGGACTGGGCGAGTGGGAATCTGACAGCGACGTCGGCGGATGGGAATTCGAATGGGAGTTGGGCGAATAGGAGCCCACCTGTGGGACGGGCGAGTACGAGTTGGACTGGGATCCGGGCGGATAACAGCCTGGATGTTGGCCAGGTGGGTAGGCGCCAGGCTGAGAGCCAGGCGGGTGAGCGTTTGACTGAGAGCTGGGTGGAAGCGCGCCAGGCTGCGAGCCGGGCGGATAGGCGCCAGGCTGCGAACCTCCCGGGAATCCCGCGGGCTGGCCGACCGTCGGACGCCCACCGGGCTCCGCGACGCGCGGCGCTCCTCCCATCTGCTGCGCGGCGCCTCGACCTGCTTCCTGCTGCCGCTCCTGCTGCGCGGCGGGCGAGGCGCTGCCTAGCCGCGGGCCGTCCTGCCCGCCGCCGGGGTGCGCCATCACCGTCGGCGGCGGCGCCGGCTGACGCGGCATACGCAGGCGCGGCCGCATCGCGCCGCGTGGCCCCATCATGCGCGGCCGCAGCGGGCGGGCGCCCTGCGGGCCGGGCCCGCGCGGCCGAGGCCCGCGCATTCGCGGCGGGACGGCGCCACCGGGCAGGAGCGGGCTCTGGGTCAGGCTGGCGGGGTCGGGCTGGCTCTTCTCTATGTACTCACTGTGCACGCCGCTGGTGGCGAACTGACGCTGCTGCGATCCGTTGGGCATCTGGAATCGTACGCGAGCGGACGTGAACGACGGCGGGGCGCGGCAAATGTACGAAGATGTAGGCGCAAACGTATTGTCAGCACGACATTAACAAAGCCTGCAAACGCAGCGGCCAATCGGATGGTGACCTCAAAAAGTAGATGTTAATCACGCCTGCCGCGGCCAGTGCGGGCGCGACACCAATCAGCGGTGCGTGGCACTTACCCGGCGGCGCCGGCGGGGCGGGGCATGTATCGGGCGCGCCGAGGGAAGGCCGCCACTCGGGCCGGAGATAGATGGGGAGCGGTCCTATCGAGCCGCCGCCGGCCGGACGCCGGACGCGCCATTGTTGGCCGACACATGACCGCCGCAGATAAACACCCGCCATAATGTGGCCGGCAGCGGGTAAAACGCGGCGGCGGCGGGCCCCGTCCGGCCCGGTGCGCGTCCGCTCGCCTCCGATCGATGGGCAAAATTCTCCCTTGTCATGCGATCGCCTCAGCGTCCACAGCAGGGCCGGACTAATGGCCACTCGGCAGGCACATTTCTCCCTCCGCCGCCTTCAGGCGGGCTCCGGCTGAGCCGGCGGTCGGAAGGGATGGGGGGAGGCAGAAGCGACCCATTCTGCCGGCTCCAGGCAAGCACTGATGGAGGACGAAGGGATCCCCTGTGGCTCGAGGGGGTAGGGATTTCCTCTACCGACCACTGGTGGGCTCTGGTGATTGGTTTCCGGTGTCTCCTTAGCTCCAGACAGTCTCCAGTGGAGGGAAAAGGGCTTAATTCTCTCGTCTTCAGACGGTCTCTGAAGGTAGTGGCAGAGGCTCAGTCTGACGGCTTCAGACAGCCTCCCGAGGCAGGGGCCCTCTCTGTCGAAGTTCCTCTGCACTCCAGGGCGTCTTATTTCGCAGAAAATAATCTTGGAACCTTAGACTGTAACGCAACACAAAGCTGCTTCGCGGAACAGCCCTGGTGCAGGTGCGAGCTCCCATGTGCGAAGCAAGTGCAGTCGGTTTGTGCACATATCAGGCGAGTGGGCGGTAGACATTCATCACCAGTCAGCCATAATGTGGGGTGATGTACGAAATGAAAACCAAGGAACCAGTTGCAGCATTTCATTTTTACAAATATTTTGTCTTAACCTTTTGATTAAATAGAATTATGGGGTCGACGCCCACGCTCGACGGTGCTTGTCTCGTAAGACATGACACCGCCATTCGACCGCGGCGCTTGGCGTAACGTTAGAATTATACGGCGAAAGTTTAACGGGCTTGCCGCTCGGCAATGCCATTCTACCCTGAGAGTAGAACTCTCTGACGTCATCTGACATTTATCGTACCCGCTGTTACCTGCCGTAGTCCATGCCAGCCGGAACAAAAAAATGAGTGCATAAGGCGACTCGAGCCCTGCCCACATCCAGTGAATCGAAAGGCAGGTGTTCTCACCAACCACGTGATTGGAACGGATTGTGGAAGGGAAGGGAGATATCAGTTAGTTTTGCGTGCAGGCTTAAACATTTGGTTTCTGTGCTCATGATTTGGCTCCGGCTGACATGGACTGCGACCAGTAGCGGCAGCGAGAAAGGTCATGTGACGTCAAAAGGTCCTACTCTCAGGGTTGGATGGGCAGTGCCAAGCGTTACGGCACGTTAAGCTTTCGCCGTGCAATTCCACCGTTGGGCCGGAATTTCACGATCCGCTGGTGTCAACAGGCAACAAGCCTTCTATACGTGGGCGCTGGGCCGAGGATTTATCCAACCAAAAGGTTAGGAATAACTCTCTAGAGAATATGAAATGCCTCAAGTGATTCCTTCGTTTTTATTTCGTACATTTTGCCAAATTAAGGCCAAATGGCTATGCATGCCTATCACGTGATTGCGTGATATTGGAGCAGAACCGATCGCACAGAAGCCTCTTCAGCTCACGTCGATTGCAATCGAGCTTCATTACCACGTCGTCGAAGGAACGCTTCCACAACGTGGTCGAATGCTCCACTTTAGATATCGTCGAACGTCGAACGTCGAAGGACCATCAATCACTTCACCACTCAAATCTGTCTGCGGCCGGGGGCATGTGCCTGCATCAGAGCTGTTCCGTACAGAAACTTGGCGCCGCGTCACAGTCCAAGGTTCCAGGATTGAATTCCGAGAGCTTAGCCGCGTTGGAACGTGAGGGGACTTTATGTTTGCGGTAACTGCACCACCACTAGCTCCGGAGTGGTTATTTAGCCTAGCACCTCTCCCTCCCCCTCCCTGCTTCTCCCTCTGACCCTGGGCCGGGCTGCAGAGGTGGGGTGCGGGCGGCGCAGACCACCCTGCTTGCGACCGCGGTGGCGCGGGCTGGGCGCCAGCCCGGCCGACCGGCGCCTATTTGCGACTGCAAACAAGCCTTGACCCAACTAACCGATGATCTGAATCCATAATTCACGAGCATCAGCGTTCTGTTGAACAGCACCGGCTGCGGTCGACGCACGGCAATCATATGCTGGTCGCCCCGCGGGTCGGTGGTCTAGACAGACCCGCGCCGCTCGTGCGCCCTCGCTGCTCGGTCTAAATTCAGTTTAAAATTGAACGGAACTTACCGCATTTGACGCATGATTCTTACGATTGTGTATGCCGTAAAAATATTGGTTGCTGCTAACAAAGCTCAGAGAATCTGGTTAGGCTGCTCGAACTCTGCCGTAAGGTATCAACGAATGACCTTAATCTCCGGTGACAGTTCGTAAGGATTGTCATGTCTATAGATATGGTTCTATAAATGCTAGGTATAAAATTGCTTGCCGTGACGAGCAATAACACTTTTTATGAGGTTATGCAATGATAGTGATGATATCTCATGCAGCCAAAATGTTTGCGTAGAAGTGCAAGGCGACTTCAAGATATGAAGAGCTTGGCACCATCGGCTTATGTAATGCTATCTGAGCGTCCCAGAATGTGTCTGCATAATCTTCGCATCCATGGCAATAAGCATACGTCTGGCTGGCCGAGGAGTCGATACGAAAAGATGGATGCCAAATCGATTGGACAGCGGCTGTGAACCTCTCTTGCGAAGATACTACTGACTATGGGTTTCATGAGCGCGAAATGGTCAGCGTGTCATCGGAGGAGGTACTTCACGACCTCGCACACCTCGTACACCTCGTAGTGCACCTCGTCGCAACCACTTACGTCGAGAGACCATCTACCTGTTCGTGGAGATAATGGCACTCCTGGTCAGGAGCACGACCTAATGCACTGAAGCCTGGCGTCGCAACCACTAATGTCGAGAGACCATCTACCTGTTCGTGGAGATAATGGCACTCCTGGTCAGGAGCACGACCTAATGCACTGAAGCCTGGCGTGCGGAGCCACCATTACGGCCTACTTAGTTTTTCAGCCTGACCTATCCTGGGTTATGTGTAACCGCTCCCAACGCTAGTTTTTAGCTGGTTCGTCGTTTCAGGATTCTTCCATTTGCCTTGGCAAGGAATTTCTCTGTACTCCAGGGTGTTTTGATGCATCCATCATCGAGAGTTGACGGAACCATACTGATCCGGTGCGACAGTATCACAAACGTCTGCAAATAGCTTTGGACATTCAGTTGTGATTTGAAAGCCGTAATCGAAAACAACGGCAGCTCATCGCAGTTTTGAGTGTCTAATATAATGCCGGTGTTTAGAAGGAAATGCCGGGTAGGCGCATGTAGACATTTTTGCGCTTAAGGGGTTTAAGTGTTAACGGGTTTAAAGGGTTAAGAGGCGCTTGCGCTTTTACGGTTGAAGACACTGAAGTAAGCGTCAGATGTGATGCAACAAGGTCACTTATAACTGTTGGTATACCTTAAAGTAGGAAAAACTACTCTAGACAACACAATCTCTCTGTTTATTTAATACGCTCCTAGATACATCATTGTTTGATTACGTCACCATACCTTGCAATATTTTGCTGAGCGCCAATCAACGGCCGCCATGTCTGGAAAGCATTCTCACGAACGCCAGATATAAATGAATCGATCATTACATTTTTATTGGCCTTGATCATCGTATGGCTTATGAAATGACGGGAGTTGAGTGACGTTATTATGACGTCATGAGTGCTAAGGTGCCCTTTAAAAACTCTCCCAGAGCACTCTACACATTTGCTGCCTTTAAGCTTGAAAATCAGACGGCTTTAGGTTTTAAAAACACAGGAGCCGTCAGCTTCATCAAAATGCCTTGAGGAAGGCTATTTCAGTGAAAACTCAACACAAATGTGGAGCACTCCCTTTAATCCCCATTTTTGGGAATTCGCAGTACTTTGTTGTTTGAAAAGTGTCTCGCATTGTGTAAACTAGAATGCTGCATAATCCAAGCGTCCTGTCACTTGTGGACACCCGGGTCGTCAGATCATACAACAACGGTTTCACATTAGAGTGAGCTTGTGTCAAGCAAGCGAGATGCAAATGCAGTAGAGGAATGCACAGGAATTCGAAAAGCTTTATCCCTGTTTTCCTGGTTTGAGCTCACGTCAGCACATCATTCCATCATCGCTTGAACTGTGTACCGTCTCGGCCACCTGAACCCGGCGTCTGATCGCGGGTTGCCAGGCGGCTGACGGGACACGCTGGCCACTGACCTGTCCGGGGCGGGGGCCGACCGTGGTGCCCGGGCGGCCGACGGGGCCGGGCCGGACCGGTCCCCCCGGGCCCGGA